AAAATAAATTAAAACAAATAAAATAAATAGAAATTCATTTCAACAATTATTTTGTATTTTATTTAGATTTTCAGAGATTAATTGTAATATTTCAATTATTTTGGAATTATTAATTCATAGTAATGATATTCAATAAATAATTGATGTGAATTAATATGATAATTATTTTTAATATGATAATGAATAGTTCTAAAAGAAATAATGATGAAATAGTTATGAAGAAGACAAAGAAAAAGAAAGAAATGATAGTATTAATACTTAATTAATTGAGTTTTAAATAATACCAAGATAAGAATAATTGATAAAAGAAACACAGATTAATTTATTATTAACACATTTTGAATGATAAGAATTGTTCAGTGTTTTGTTATAGTTGATAGATAGATTTGTAATATAAACAATAGAAAAAGAAAAAAAGAAATAAAATTCTAATAAAATAAAATAAAATAATAAGAGAAGAAGATTAATAAAATCAATATTTAATTATTTTAATTTAAAACTTTCTTTGGTTTTTTCTCTTCTTTTAGTTTTCTTTTTTTATTCATCTTTTCTTTACGCTCTTTGTCCTTCTTTTTCTTATCACGTTTTTCTTGTTTTATTGCTCTTAATTTCTCTACTTTTTCCATACCACATCCTAATAATGGTGTTTTATTAAATTCTTTAACTGGTCTAACACGACAATTTTTAACTATATCTCCTAAATTAATGTAATGATATAATTCCGTTTGTAATCTTTCACGTGCTTCTTCAAAACTTTTATGAAGAGATTGAATCTTTCCATTCTTTAAATACTTTATTAATAATCTTGCTAACTCATTTTTAGCTTCTTCATTTGGTTCAGGTGCTTCATCAATATATATAACATCATTTAGATAATCATAATAATAATCTGCTACTTTTGTTGAAAATGATAATGAAATTGGGTTATTTTGAAGTGGAACAACATGTTCTATTAAATAATCATTCCATTCTTTAATCATTTCAATATTCCATCCATGTTGTGAAATAAAATATAAATATTTTTGAATCATTTGACACAATAACATTTCATATTTTTTTATTCTAACATAATCAATTTCATCCCAATATCTTTCTAATGTCTCCATTCCAACTTTTACAAATAAAATGCATTCGTGTTTGTCAATTTCTTCTTTATTCATTATTGATGTAATTTCTTTTCTTACTTTTTCTTGATAATCTCTTCCATCACTATGCCAATACCCTATTATTTAATTATTTATTTATTTTCCTCTTTCTTATAATTGAAATAAACAAACAAAAATAAAGTCCAATCCAAATCTCTTTCATAACTTCTTCATTTGTGTCGTTTTTCATTAAAACTTCTTTTGCCTCTTTCCATCCTGCATCTCTGATACTTGGTTCTTCATTAGAAAGTTTTTGTGCAATGATTTTCCCAATACTGATGGAGTTGTTTGTCATGTGGAAGAAGTGGTTGTGTTGGTTCAGGGTTAGTTCTTCACACAAAAAACAAAAAATAAAAACAAAAAGAAATGCATCGAAGTGAAGAACAAATTGCACTTTGCAAACACAAAAGTTATTTATGCATTCATGAAATTAATGAAAGCAAGAAAAGAATTAATGAAATGGTTAATAAGAAAACAGAAATTCAATGCACGCTTCAGGCTATTAGAGAAGCACAAGAATTAATTGAAGAAATGAATAAAATTTCAAATGAAGGGAATAAAGAGATAAAAGTGAAGAATGAAGTTGAAGAAATCAAAAAAGCCATTGAAATAGAAGAGAAACAAGTGAAGGAAATTGAAAAAGAAAACAAGAAAATCAGAAAGGAAATAGAAGAAATTAAAAAACAAAGAAAAGAAAATATAGAAAATATAGAATATCAAGAAAAAACACTCAAAGAACAAAGTGAACATGAGACAGAAAGTCTTATTAAGGAAAATTTAAGTATCAAAGAAACAATTAAACAAGTAGAATTAGAGAGTGATGACATTGAAGAGATTGAATTTCAAGTCAACCAACTCTATCAAAGTGAGATTGAAGACTTATATTCAAATGAGAAATATGACAGTGAGTTTAATAATAACAATGATAAAGAAAGTATTTTTAATGATAATACAGAAATGAGTGGAGATGAACAAAATGATGAAGGAGAACCAAATGAATATTACAGTATGAGTGATAATAGTACAGGAACATATTTTAATAATAATAAAGAACAACACACATATAAAACCAAAGATAAAGAAAGTAGTTCAACTTCAAATTCAACTTCAAATTCAAAAGAAGAAAAAGGTACAGACAAAGAAAATAAAGAAGAAACAAGTGAAAGTCAAAGAGATGTAGAAGTATATGAAATATCGGATGATTAAAACAAATACTTTTTATATAAATTCAAGTTTAATTTAACAATGCTATTTGTTAATAGAAATTAATGAAACATAATAAATAAGAGAAAACTGAAATAACATAAGAAAAAAGTAATACAATAATAAACATAAAAGATAAAAAAGTAATATAAAGAAGTAAAGTCATACTAAATAATTGAAGAATGAGTGATGTAATTAATAACATATAAAATAGAACAAATATACACATAATAGAATATTAAAAGAAAGTAATGAATAATAAAAACAATGAAACAATAAATAATAAACATTTTAATGATTATATAAAGTTTTAATCAAAAAA